TCATCAATCACACTAGACTCGGGCTCCATTAGCAACCTTAAGCAATTTCACACATGCGTTAATTCAAGAAATACTGTTTTATCATTTTGAACTTTAATACCGTGATAGGAAATAGGGTGAGGGGTCCTTACTTGTTTTCGGGATCCGAATACGATTCACAGTGCGCCTGCAGGCTGTCCCTAATTTTCCCTGAATTTTTCCCGGGGAACTGAAACACGCTAACAGTACCTGCACGGGTTCCAAAAAAAATCCAAATTAGGCCCAGGGCCTCTTTCGGCCCAAATCGCAACTCCGGCACGGCGGCTCCGCCGTGCTCCGGCGACGGCGCCGCCGCTGGCGGCGGCGAGTCGCCTCGGGTTGACTGTTTTCGGCCGTTTTTGGCCGAATTCGGCCACACTCGCATTGGTCCTTGTCAGAAAACAACCCTAGGGCCCTCGGGGGGCCAAAAAATCACGGAAAAGCGGAGCTTACCGGCGGCGGCGCTCTCGGGTACGGCGACTCTCCGGCGAAGTTCGTGTTTTGGTGATTTGGCTTCGGTCAACCTGTAGAGAAAAGAATGGTGATCACGGTGATATAAAAATTGCATCGAACGGAGGCCGGGAAGGGCCTCGTCGGAGGTAAAAACCGAGAGGGGGCGCGGCGGCGCCGCTGGGCTTCGGCCGCGTATTCCGGCCGTTTGGCCGGGATTTCGGCTTCGATTTGGCCATAGGAGGAATCAGTGGGGAAAAACGAGTCGGGGGTATGAAATTTACCTCGATCGGCGGTCGGAAATTTCCCCGGTGCGGCGGCGAGTGGCGGCGGGTGGCGGCGGTCGGCCTCTGGTTCGTCTTCTCCGGCGAGCGGTTGGCGGCTAGGGTTTTTGGTCTGGTGTGGGGGTTCTATTTATAACCCCTTGCCTTTTGATCACAGCCGTTCGTTTCGTTTTAATCTGGGCCGTTCGTTTTTGATTGAATCTGGGCCGTCCGTGCGTTTGAATCTGGGCCGTCCGATCGCGTGATTGATCTGGGCCGTCGGATCGCACCCACGCGGATCGCCAACGTGGCTCCTTTCGGAGTGACGCGATCTTGCCACGTGGCAGGCCCCGGTTGGCCGGGACTGCTGACCGGGCCTGCTGACGTGGCTGCTGACGTGGCCCCCCCTTTTTTTTTTTTTTTTTTTTTTTTTTTCCTCCTCCTTTCCGGGCGCTACAATTTAT